GCCCCTGCCCTGCTGAGACAGTGATGCACGGTGCTGATCGGGAGTGGCCCCCGCCAGGGCCCAGTGTGGGAGGAAAAACGCCCCTGTGGCGCACAGAACATCAGGAGCTAAGGGCAGGGGCAGAGGCTGAGCCCCAGCCCAGTCACCGGGCGCTGTCCCCCGGCGGCCCCCCGGCTCCCTCGGCCAACACAGCTCCCCGGGGGGCCTCAGCCGCTGGTCTCAGACCCTCCTTCGCCCCTGCGGCCTCAGAGACACTACTCGAGATGTCTCCACCCCCTGACCTTCCTCAAGTCATGCTCCCCGGCCAGAGAACCCTGCTGGGGGGGCCAGGAGCCTCCAGGCAGGTCCCCCCGATAAAGCATCTGCCTTCCTGGCCCAGCCAAGCCTGCAGTGACGTCATCCCAGCTCCAAAACACCATGAGAGCAAGGGCAGAACGTCCCTCGCCAATCCGGCCTCTGCACAGCTGACCAGAGACTCGGCCTCCAGCTCTCGCCACTCCGACCCTCCCTCTCCCAAGAAGCTTCAGTCGGGAATGGAAGACAAGTTGCTCTGGCACTTAGAGCATCTCACAAGTTGGTTCCACACACACACACACACACACTCACACACACTCACACACACACACTCATACACACACACATACACACACTCACATACACACCCACACTCACACACACATACTCACATACACACATTCACACATACTCACACACACATTCACACACACTCACATACACACACATACACACACTCACGTACACACACATATACACTCACGTACACACACATATACACTCACACACACTCACATACACACACACTCACATACACACACACATACACTCACACACACATACTCACACACACACATACACACACTCACATACACACACACTCACGTACACACACTCACGTACACACACTCACGTACACACACATATACACTCACACACACTCACATACACTCACACACACATACACACACTCACATACACACACATATACACTCACACACACACACACACACACACACACACACACACACAC